AATTATATGTATATTTAATACCATGGGGATCCCTGGCTAGGGAATGTATAGATCGCAGTGTATAAATCCCACAGGGTTAGGTTAGGCTAGGCTAGGTTAGGTTGGTTTATTGGTTAGGACGCATTGTACGATTACCACAGGGGATCTGGATTATGTTGATCATTTGGTTACCAAAACACCGATAGGCTTGCCCTAGCGGTGGGCTGAGGAACTAAACAATTATAATTCAACTCCTATGAACTTTCCAATTTGTTTTGAAAATAGTCTAAAAACCATATTAAAGAAGAGAGAAAAAGAAAAGGGAGGAGAGGGTTATTGAATGGGAGGAAAGACTAATAGAGAGAGAGAGTAGGAGGGAGAGGGAGGGAGGTAAAGGGAGAGGGAGGGAGGTAAAGGGAGAGGGAGGGAGGTAAAGGGAGAGGGAGGGAGGTAAAGGGAGAGGGAGGGAGGTAAAGGGAGAGGGAAGGAGGTAAAGGGAGAGGGAGGGAGGTAAAGGGAGAGGGAGGGAGGTAAAGGGAGAGGGAGGGAGGTAAAGGGAGAGGGAGGGAGGTAAAGGGAGAGGGAGGGAGGTAAAGGGAGAGGGAGGGAGGTAAAGGGAGAGGGAGGGAGATAAAGGGAGAGGGAGGGAGGTAAAGGGAGAGGGAGGGAGGTAAAGGGAGAGGGAGGGAGGTAAAGGGAGAGGGAGGAGGTAAAGGGAGAGGGAGAGAGAGAGAGAGAGAGAGAGAGAGAGAGAGAGAGAGAGAGAGAGAGAGAGAGAGGGAGAGAGAGAGAGAGAGACAGAGAGAGAGAGAGAGAGATATGATCGAGGTAGAATAGAAAGAATTAAAGTTGAATAAGGTAATTACTGAAGAGGAGGAAAAGTTGAGGACATGTCGCGTATTGTGAAGCAACTGAAGACTCTCGGCGGAAGGGTCTAGCCTAGGGTTTTTTCTTTTGGTGTAGAGAAGTCGCCAATACATGCACAAAGACGGTTATGGAAAAAAAAGCAAAATAGAAAAGTAACGTAATGTTAAACAGAAGGAAAAGGAAACAGTTACCGTATGAATTGACCCTTTTTTCTTTTTGTTTTGTATGGTGAGGAAATCATTACAAGTTGAAAAAGTTGCAATCAGTTTTAGTTCATATTGTGACTGCTTTCAATTTCTTACATAGACTCGTATGTTCCAGCAAGATGGGACTTGAACCTGTACTTCATTTAGTTGTTGATTTTAGTCTGTTCAAAATGTATGCGCTGGAAGGTAGCTAGAGTGTGGACAGACAGACAGACACAAAGACCACAACAGTCACTTGAGTAACTGGAGATGTCTTATGGATGCTTCCTTTTTTCTTAGATATGATTTTATAGATTCCCCCCCACCCCCCAAATATAAGTATTATTGCAGTTTCAGACATTAGTGTAGTACCAGATAAACAGCACATTCCCACCATATATATCCTGGCAAAATAGAGCTTGGACAGTTTTTTTTTTTTTTTTTTTTTTTTTTTTTTTTTCTTTTCTTTCTTTCTTTCTTTCTTTCTTTCTTTCTTTCGTTCGTTCGTTTGTTCTTTCTTTCTTTCTTTCTTTGACATTAGATCCCCATATTTTTATTTCTTTCTCACTCAAACATGCAGTACAGGGAAGGGCTTTACTTTATTGTGACATAATCATATGTAATTTAGGAATAATCAGTAGGGTATTAGATAACTGGGAGGGTAATTATATAATCTTAATAGATAATGGTTGGAAGAAATTAATACCTAACACTTCATTATTTTATTTTATTGATTAGTACATTTTTCCTTGCAGACATGGCTATGAGTGGAGGATCAACAGGCATGATGAGGAGCCCTTACACGGGGCAGATGAACCCAGGATCTCACACGGGTATGGTATCTAGCCTTGAAGGACCTTTGTGTGTGTGTGTGTGTGTGTGTGTGCTCTTCATTTTCTGTAACATCATTTAGAGGAAAAGAGACTGCATGAGATTCAGTTACCAAATGTGAACTCACTAAGGGCAAAGCTTTACTCTTGTGTGTGTGTGTGTGTGTGTGTGTGTGTGTGTGTGTGTGTGTGTGTGTGTGTGTGTTGTAAGAATGGCAATTGTTGAAATATATTTTAAATATTCCTTAATTTCTTTTTCAGGTGGTCAGACCATCCAACCAGGTAGCAGTGATTCACAGCAGCAACAACAGCAACATCCACAGAGAAATACTGCTTTCCTCTGCAAAGCTGGTTGTGAGACTGTACAAGAGATCGTTGTGAGAACCAGCGAAGTGTTCTCTCTTCTCAAGACGATGCCGGTAATTATGAGGGAATACCCAGAAATGGGGTGACCTCACCTGTGTATTATGGAGATTTTTAATGAGTGCTGTCTTGTTTTAACCCATTTGCACTGGGTAGAAATGAACCAAAAATGGGAAAAATACTGTGCTCATTTTTTATATTTTTTTGTGAAATGTGTCTACACTAGATGGCTCTGCCTTAACTGATTTCACCTTTACTTGAATTGGCGGGAAAATGTATTTTTACTAGTGGTATGAATATCGATGGTTATTTTTATTATAAACATCATAATTACTCTAATGTTATAAACATTAGTAATGGCAAAATAAGATAACATAAAATATTTTTGTAAATTAAAGAAAAGGGTAAACAGGCAATCTGTGTAGCCATCTATGTGTGAAAACAATTAAACAAGTGAACTCACAGTGGGCACGTCACTTATACATGACATCTGGCACGAATGGGTTAAGTTATGAAGAAAGTGTTAGGTATGCTGTTGTTTTGCATGTTTGATATTTAGTATAAGAAGGAAACAAATCCATTATAAAAAAAAAAATCTCTTTGGCATTTTGTGGGTAGAGATGTATTATGAAACCATGAGAAATATGTGTACTTAAAAAAAAGAAAAAGATAGTTTCCATACATATTTATGTAGCTTTATCATATTTCGACATGATGGAAATAATCCATGTTATATCAGATTATCAAGGAAGCTAAACCAGTATTTGTGATTCCCATTTACAAGGTCATTTCTTGCCTGTCTAGTCTAGAATGTAATCATAAAGTTGCTATATTGCAACTAGATTCATGGTAACATGATACCACAGTTTGAAATGTAGTGACTTACAGCATTTTATAGATAAAGAAAAGTTGATACACTCCGGCATTTTTAAGAATTGTATCTTGCCATTTTAAGAGCTGTATCCTGTTTGATAATTTGGTGCATTTTGTAGACTCGTCACTTGGGAAGATCTTTATCACCCTTGCCATAAGGGACCACTATACACATTGTGACACTTTTAACAGGAGCAAATGGATATTCCCCCAATTCTGAGTGGAAACATCAACATTACTTTGGCATGTTAAAAAGGTATCCAGCATTAAGATGTTCAGGTGTTTAGTTATTCACCATTTTGTAGGTGACTTACATAAATGAAATAATACATTGTACCTCTACACTTCCAGCTCCCCAATGGGACACAAGCAGGTACGCAGCAGAGTCAGGATAAGAAAATGCGTATTCAGGAGTACCTCATAACCATCCAGAGGCAGTTCAAAACCCTGAGGGCGATCTACACCAGAGTGAACGACGATTGTGCTGGGATGGAATACACACACATTGAAGTAAGATCTGTGTCTCATACACCTTATTAGAAGAGGTCAAAGCAATAGTTCATCCAGTATGGAAAATGTGAATGTAGAAGTAGAGAGTTTTAAACAACGCCTTTTCTCTAAAGGGTTTTGGTTATTTTCAGAGCCTTATACCGTACAAGGAAGAAGGAGACACCAAGCCAGACCAAAAGAAGATCAGTGAGAATTTCCGTCACCTTGTGGAGGAATCTCGAGAACTGAAGGAGGTAGATATTGACTTTTTTTTTTTTTTTTTCTTTTTTTTCTTTTTCTTTTTCTTTTCTTTTCTTTTCTTTTCTTTTTTTCTTTTTCTTTTCTTTTTTTTCTTTTTCTTTTCTTGTCTTTTTTTTTCTTTTCTTTTCTTGTCTTGTCTTTTCTTTTCTTTTCTTCTTTTTTTTCTTTTTCTTTTCTTTTCTTTTCTTTTTTTCATTTCTTTCTTTCTTTCTTTTT